TTTTAGATACAAGAGTAGGGTTCTTTGACGTTAGTAATCAACGGTCCGGCGTATTAGTGTCTAAACAAGCAATCCAGTAACTTAGTAATTCAGTTCGGCAAATAAGTACTGCAGTCCGGCAAAATTATTATTGGGGTCCGTCGTTCATACAATGAAGGTATGGGAAGGAGTATTTTCGTCAAAAAAATTACAACTTTTTGAGTTGGGGGGTTTTAGTTATAAATATGGTTTTGTATAAAAAGAAGTGAGGAAAGTTTGGGGTGGGGGTAGAGTGTCTAGAGAGTACGTTAAGAGGGTTTTTAGCAATTTTCCTTAGATCTAACAAGGATGCACATGATAAAAATATTAAAAAAATATTTTTGGAGATGAAAAATTACCAAAATGCCCATGAAAATTGGATGGGAATTTTGGTCATTTATTTTTATATAAAATATTTTTATTTTATTTTTTCTAGGTTCCCCCTAATGTTTCCCGAAATTTCAACAAAAAATGTTTTGTATAAAAAAATAAAGAGAAATTATCATAAATATACCCTAATTTTCACTTAATTAGAAAAAAAAACCCCAAACTTTTGTAAAAAAATGAAGTGAAATTATCATAAATATACTCTGGAAGCAATACTCCGTAAGCAATCAGATAATTCTTATTTGTGATTTGTGAATTTTTTTTGGGTGCAGTGTGTAGAGGTAAAGTGCACCTTCAAATTTTATCATGGTATATAATTTTGATGTAAATATTCTTGGGATTATCTCAAAAACTATTTTTATATCTAATTATTAAATTTTAAATTTCAAAAATGGTTAAAATCAAGTAGATCTATAAACATATGAAAATCTTGAAAATGGACGGTGTAGATAATATGTCGTAAAATGCGCTATTTTTGAGACTTAAAATCTTTTTATTTTTCAAAGGCGTACATCTCGATGTCGAGATGATCAATCAAAGGGTTTTTCAACATTAAAACTACCTTTTTTGATGGATTTTTGAGGAGCATCCGTAGTTCTACATTATAAGGTAGCATCCTCATAGAAACTTTTTCCATAAAAGAATAGCTAGATATAGTTTGCAAGATTAAGGTTTCACGTAAAGCATCTGAGGAAGTGGCATAGCCTCAAGAATTCAAGAATGAGAGCGTAGAAAAGGGGAAGTTTGTATGAGAATGATAAGCACAAAGAAATATTTTAAGGCATGCTTATGGAAGTTATTTGGATAGAGAGCTTGTGGAGATTGTCAAGTTCACTAGATTCTTAAAAACAAAGAACAACTAAATATGGTTTTCAAAAAAGTGTGATTTCATATCAAGGTGAAGATTGTTTTGTAAGGTGGTCAAAAATCACCACCAATTGATATAACTATTATTGTTTAAGAGTATTTTAGTAATTGTGTCAGGATCTTGAAAGCTCATTTTGTAGAGAGAGAGAATAGATATTGTGAGGGAAAAACTCTTGTAAAGATTGCCAATGGGAGTTTTTGGTAAAACCCTAACTACTGTGTTACCCTATTTCAGGTGATTTCATCAACATTTTTCATGAGTGGATCTATGGTGATTGAGTCAAAAATGAAAGTTAGTTCGATGGTTCTTTTGTGGTAATGGAAAGGGGGAATGGATGGTGTTGTGAATTGTGAGGCAACATTTGTATTTACCTAACCTTGTAATTCATTTATGGTCATGTTGAAAGACAGACCTATATAATTTTTTGCCAGAGAAATACAATTTTTTTTTTTTAATAATAATCACTTTTTATAATTTTGGCAAGAAGATCACTCACAGATGGTCTTATTACAAACAATATAAATTCCAAAAATAAATAACACATTAATAAAATAAATCTCAACTACTTGATGTCATTCATACAACCTAATACTGTAGTTGGGAATATAAAATAAAAAAACAAACAATTAAAAGAAAAGATGTCGGAGATTACCTCAACCGGGTTTTTTACACCCCACACCGAGTCACCACATCCAATGGCGCGGGATCAATGGTCTAGCTTCAATCTCGAACTAGGAAAACTAATTTCGGCCAAACTAGGTAACCACCCTTAAATATCTATAAAACTTAACTCCAAAATAATTAGGCTCAAACCCAAATTTTCCCAACTCTTAGATTAAATCATGAGAGAGAGACTCTCTATGTTGGTGTGTGCCCCCTAGGTTCTTATAGGAGAGAGAGAGTAGAGAGAGAAAATCATAGAGTAGAGAGAGAGAGTTTATGGGAGAGAGAATGGTGTATAGAGAAGGGTAGAGCACATCTATTTATAGTGAAATTTAGGCCTAGGGTTTCTTTAGGGTTTCCTATAGTTTGCCTCTTTCTTGAGATTGAATATGGATCGTTGATCAAGGTGACTTGTGGGGTGAGAGATCTGAGTCATCCATTCTATCGATGGGCTATCAACATTATGGAAGGTGCATGAACCATCCCCCTTTCCTTAAATTATTTTCCCATCAATATATTTAAATAAATCAAATCCATTAAAGATACAGTGCATACTATAAATTACATATTCTATCTCATATTTTCCATAAGAATATTTCAATAATATCAAGTCAAGATATTCCTTCAAGATAAGATATGGTCAATATTTCCTAATCAATATTTGACAATATGCTTACAAGATATAGTTACCGTATTTAACAAACTTGAAGACAAAGCAACAAGAGAAGGTATCCAAGGGTGGAGCGTGCCACCCATGTATGGTATGTGGGGCCACTTAATACCCACATGGTGGGCCCATGTACACTATAGGCCCCATGTATTTTTTTTAATAAATATTTTAAAATTAAAAAAATTGAATTTTAAAACATTATAACTTTGTAAATTAATAATTTCATTTTTATAAGTCCAAAAATAAGAAATAAAATATCAAATGACTTATAAAAATTCAAATAATAAATCTAAAATAATTTATTAATAAAATGAACACAATTAAATTAACATGATGAGAAGTGGATCCATATGGTTCAAGAATTCAATCAACGATCATGGGGTACTCCACCTTAAACTGTGGACTACATGCCACACTTGCTTTATCGAACCGACCCAGTGTTTTTCATGACCCACAGTCCAAGCAGGGACTCATTAGCGAGTCACCAAAGTCTGATCAATGAGCCAAGGAGTCGCAATCCCAGTCTGTGGATTACATGTCCTCCTCTAGAGACGAGTCAAAGTCACCACGACCTGATGCGACCACAGTTCTATGGCGCATAAGGGTATCTCTCGCACATACATATGCTTCACCCAAAAGTGGATATTAGCTTTCCCGAACGATTTATTTATATGCATGTCATGTGATGGAACATGGATGAGGTTTTGGCCCCCGTCTCTATAGGCCTACCATCACATACAAGGGTCACACAGTCCATCGGCTCACTCATCTAGGCATAAGCTCCGACCTCATCAAGGGCCCTAACTCAAGGGCTAGCCCAGGTCCCTTGGGTTTTCCAATCGAGTGGCCTAAATCGTCAAGCACAGTCCGGTATCCGTAAATATCATTTGCTTAGTATGGTCTTCGAATGACCACACTCCCACTAAATTTTTGTCTGCCATAATAAATATTTTTTATTATACACTTATAAGGCTTTTAAATGCTATATAAACCCAACAAATGAAACCATTTTTTTGCCTGTTCCCATAGCTCATTCAAGTGAATTACGTAGCGGTGATCGTGTTATGGTTTGTAATGTTGGTCATAATTTTAGATTTTTTATTTTGCTTCTCTTAAATATTTTTTCCAAATCTATTAGATATTTTTAGGTGTTTGGACGTATCGAATTTGATTTGCCAACGATGAGCAAGTTGCTTTTGAGGTTTTAAATTTGTTACGGTAGGGGTCTCACCACAACCTGGGGAAATCAAGCAAATCTCGGTACTTCGAACACTTAATGGAATACGATATGCTTGTCATAAATAAATAGTAAATAAAGATAATGATCGATCAGGTACCATGTGATTCATTACCTCTATTGATCCCTTCAATGAGGGTTGAGATGATTGGAAGCTTTTTTTTGTCAAAAAAAATTCAAGCTATATATGCAAAGGTATGATCTCCTTAGTTATCATAATAGACGAACATTAATCGGTGAAGGATGAGGTCCAATCAGTTCAATTGCAGTAGGAATTGATAGATCATATTTTTAAAAAACTTAAAAATAAAATTTAAATTTAAATTACATTTAAAAAATTTTGCTTAATTTTATTTAACTTTGTTTAGTTGGTTAGACCAATCAAAACCGAATGGTCTAACTGTCCAAAAAAGATCAAATGCTAATTTTTACTAATTTTCGATCAAATCAGATTTTTGCTTTAAGTCAGACTAACCAAAGTACGAGTCGACAATCTAACTATGTGCTTCGGTTCATTCTAGATAAATATGCTTTCCACCGTTCATAATATGGATCATGGTACTATATCATCTAGAATATTACCTCACAGTGTTCAAGGACTCGACCAAGTCCACTCGGACTCGGCCCCTTGCCAAGCTGAGTAACCATGTAAAAATTAGGCTAATTAAAAAATTAAAAATTGTATACAATTATAGAATCAATGGATAAGAATTATATGTATTCAAATGTTTTTTAAGATGAATGGTGAGTTTTCGTACATGCCCTATCTTATATTTTCATCTTTTTTATATTTCTAAAATATCTCCAACTTAAATTAGTTTTTTTTTTAAATTTATGTTTTATGTATTTTTCAGTTTATTTGAACCGTTTATATTATCTTTGTTTTATTTCATCTTTATTTTTATTTTTTATTTTAAATTTTTTTACTTTTAAGGCTTATTGGCCCTTCACATTACTCAGTTAAGGGTACATTGAGTTGCTTAGAGACTCAGCCCGAGCCCAGGCCCAGGCCAGGGCCAAGCCCCAGCTGCGTTTAAAAACATCAGCTGCATCGTAATATGGTTTTTTCGACAAAAATTGGGCAACTTTCGAAGGAAAAATCAGGCAAAAACATGTAAAAATTTCCAAAATTTGTCCTCCATGTTTAGTGGACGGTTGAGATTAAATAAAACTTTCTGATGCGCGCTATCTCAACCGTCTCCAACGCCCTATCCTGTATTTCAGTTAAGTGAGAAGGGTCTCCCTCCCCAAAAAGATAAGCAATGGCAATTGCTGCAACTGCATTCAACCCTAGAAAAACCATAATATCTACGAGCTTGCAGCTTCTCGGAGCGAATAAGAGAATAATTTGTCAGTCCTCTTCCTTTTGGTGTCCTAATTTCTGCAATTCTCGCGTTAAGGCTGGCTACGAATCTCGGGTTTTATCTGCTAAGCTTGCATCAGATGTCATAGTTCATGAACGAGTCTCTGAAACAGCTACAGGTTCTGATAATTTGTTAGGTCATCCATGAAATGTGCTTTATTTCTGTGAATTATGGTACTGTTGGCTCGTAAACTGTTAAATTCGATATCGAATTATTTAGTTCTGTAAATTCTCTATTCATTATTTCGTTTATTTGAACTGGTTGGTTTTGAGATGAGTACACTTGAGAGCACTATCAGCTACGTATTATGTGTTCATATGAATTAACATCTGTGAAATTCAGTCGTCCACAATGTTTTTTAACTCACCTTGGGCCTCGGAGTCAGCACTGGCCCGATGGGAGTAACTCGACCCTGGCCCGAGGGGAGTAATCCGGCTAAATCCAGTAAAGTACAGGGCCCAAATGCCCTAAAAGATAAAAAAATACAAAATTTGTTCAAAAATAAAATAAAAATTGTTCAAGTGAAACAAAACCAAAGGCAACATTAAAAGTCCAAACAACTAAAAAGAATTTAAACATGTATCCAAACAAAATTGATTTATGGTTGGAGAAATTTTAAAAAAATCCAAAAAAAAGAGGAAAATGTAAAAAAAAAAGGTACATGGCTAGAATAACTCATAAATCATTGTAAAAAATCCACATTGCATGTATTTTATATATTGATTCCACATTTTTATATATTTTTAAATTTTAAATTTTTTTAAGTGCCCTGAGTTGCGCCAAGTCCTCGGATTGGCAATGAGCAGAATATGAGTATCTTGGGCAAGTCCTAGTGGACTCGGCCAAGTTTTGAACCATTGCTGATGATATGCACAATAAACTGCTTGGGTAGTCAAATTTGTAGTGCCCATGTTTCTCTCAACCCAATATATGTGGGTCATAGAATTGTTGTTATTTTTTTGGGGGGGTTTTGACTCCTTTTCTTCATCTTCTTACTGAGTTTTAAAACTCTCTACTTGCTCACCTTCGTGATGCCGTAACATTGTTAGAGTTCTCAAGCATATTCCTTAATGAGCCGTAAATTAGGAAGGCAGTTTGTCAATTTTGGGAATCAGAGTCTGTTCTTTATTCTGAAATATGAGGGCTAATCTGAAAGCTTCAAGGTGATTGTCCAGTGGTCCCCTTTGCCATACATCGTTTTGAGCTTCAAGCGTTTGTCGATTCCCCTACATTCTCTCTGGAATAGTATTATTTCCATCGATACAAAGACATACTACGATGTATAAAACGGCTGCTATAACATGTAATACAGTAATAGGATCAACCATCCATTGTTCCTTGTTGCATACATGTTTCTCCTTTTGTATTCTCACTGGATGTTTACATCAATGCCTCACTTTTAATAAATTTATCATAGTGATGTAGTTGATATTGAACTTTATACACTCAGGTTGGAGAGAGTTTTGTGAAAATGTATCCGGTGAATGGGATGGGTATGGTGCTGATTTCTCTAGTGAAGGAGAACCCATAGAACTTCCAGAGTCCGTGGTTCCTGAAGCTTTTAGAGAGTGGGATGTAAAGGTTTTTGATTGGCAAACGCAGTGCCCAACCCTTGCTGAGACTGAAGAACCTAAACTTGTGTACAAACCGACCAAGTTACTCCCAACTGTTGGATGTGAAGCTGATGCAGCAACTCGTTATAGCATTGAGGAGAGATGGATAGGAGGCGGAAATAATGGGGCCTCTACCTTTTCATATCACCCTAGCGGTTGTTATGTAGCTGTTTGGCCAGTAGATAAACACGGTTTGCTTGAATTAGAGTATTGCTTAGTTGATCCTGGTAACCGAGAATCTCGAACAAGGATATCTCGAACAAGGATAATTCAGGTTGTCACTTTATTGTCCTTTGAGGTTTTTTTTGTTTTTTTGTTCCTTTTTTTTTTGCAACCGAAACAATAAGACAGACTGCAAAAAGGGTTTCTAATAAATGGGTTGTCAAAATTCAGGTTGTAGAAGTGGAGAAAGATAATGGGGAGCAAAAGACTGTGATGAGGTTGAGGAATATAAAGGTTTTTAGTGAACAGTGGTATGGACCTTTCAGGAATGGAGAACAGCTGGGGGGATGTGCTATTAGTGGGTCTGGTTTTGCCACTACGGATGTTCTCAAAGACTCAGAAGTCACAGGCTCATGGGAGAGTCAAATATTTGTTGCCAGCTTCAAGAATTCTCAACATGTGAGTTTCTCTTGTCGAGCCGCTTTGCCAATTGATTCATTCTTGAAATCCATTTCAACTGCACTCTTCACGAGCAGTTTTAAGAACTTATGTTAGTTTCAAAATGTCTAGATTCTTTCCCTTTGTGTTTTCAATATTCAGTTGAATGCTTCCAAGTAAGTTTCAAGATAATTTTGAACTTGGAAATTTGGGCTTTCCCTTTCTATCTCTGTGTTTTATGTAGTTGGGTGACTGGGATGGGGACTGTGCCTGTATATGTGATACTAAAAGGCGAAAAGGGTGTACCTATTGGCAAAAACAAAGCAACACACTAACATGCGTAGAGACAAGCAAAATGTTTTAACATTTGTTGATACACAACCATTATCGCCTGCCCTTGAATGAGAGGTGGTTGGGCCTGCACAGTTCTTTGGGTTACTGAGTTTTCTGGTTTAGTAGATCCCTTCACATAACCTTACATTAAGGGTGGGGATCAGCCTCAAGAATAACAGATGTATGCTGTATTGCTAACTAGAGCTTTCACATTCAGGCTTGAAATATATTCCTTTCATTTTGGTACCATTGTCCCAGTAGTGTATATCACATTGTCTTATAAATTGAGGGTAACTAGGAAATATTTATTTTAAAAGCTTAAGATTCTGATCATTAGTTCCCACTTAATAATTGCCAAAATTATGGCTCTCTTAAATATACCTCTTATAACCACATATAAAAGAACAAGTACATATAGAATCCTGTTTAGTTACTTAAAATGTAAATGCTTTGTATTCCAAGTCTTCCAACACTTTTGTAGCAAAATTTCCAATGTTTTATGAACTTGCCTCCTGCTCTTTAAGTACAATGATGATATGATTTGTCCAGGAGTTATTTAGAGAACTTGTTGATCAAATGCCTCAAAAGGTGACTAGAGACCTGTGTGATCTAGTGTTACTGCCGAAGCAACTATGGTGTTCCTTGAAGGAAAATACAATTGGTGAAACTTGGGGAGAGGTTGGTTGTTTAGCTGGCCCTGGAAATGTGATTACATCTCGATGTGTCTTCTCCAAAAATGGCGTGTTACAGGTAATTGATCATTGCTGTATTCTATCCAATGTTTTTTTTGTGAAAGTATCGATGAGTTTTTTTGTGAAGGTGTCGATGTTTCTTTGATGGTTTGTCCACATGCTTTTCATTGATTGTTGGAAAGAGCTATCAGATGTCTTGCCTTTATTTAATCAACATGTTCCATGCTTCAAGTTGGTATGTCATTGTTTCAAATGTGTTCTGCCAATTATGAGGGTGATATATCTCAGACATTTATGTGTTGCTACTTCTTTAGAATTCCATGATTTCCATAAATTTGCTCCATCTGACATTTTCTACTGCATGTTAAAGCAAATTCTATATTCTTATGTTGCAACTTTCGTACTTTTAAGGAGAAAATCATCATGGACCTCACGGCACAGAGAGAGAGCTCCATTTTTACTTTAATTTCCAAGATATTTGTGGCCATTTGTGCGGCCTTAGATACATGAACTGCCTGTGCATATAAACGATTTGGCTATTTTCTTATGCTTCTCTTCTTCAGGAAATGGCTATAGGATATGAGAGCAGAAATTCAGAGATTGAAGAATAGTGCAGGGCCACACTGGGGAATATCAATGGCATGTTTCCTTAGTGGGTTACCTGCAGAATTGTATCATGTCGCTACCGAAAGGGTTGTCGCGTATTATAATTAAAAACCTGTGAATTCGTAATTTCTGAACAAAAAATACTAGAATTGTATAAATGTAAACCATATAGCATACAGTGGAAATGATTGGAGTGTATTGCTTATAAATGTGTAACGTTCCATTCAATCACACGCAGTGTTTCCAGTTCAAGAATGGTAATGGTCTGATACTTCAATCAACTGGCGAGACTTTCATTTGTGAACCATGTTTGACAAGTAAATTGATAGTCTTAATGAGCCAGCAAATTAGAAGGTACTTTTCAAGTAAGAAGCCCATTAAATCAAAGTCACATGAATGAATGAATGAATGAGAGAGAGAGAGACGCTCAAGGATGTCAATATAAATGAGCTAGAGAACCATGTATGAGAAGTAAATTTACTTAGTTTAATAAGCCAGCAACTTATAAGGTACTTGAACAAGAAACCCATTAAATCACATCACTTGTGCGTTTGTGAGAGAGAGAGTAGTTCAAGGATGTAAACAAGCAAGTGAGAGAGAGTAGCTTAAGGATGCCAATATAGAGAAAACTATTAATAATAAATAAGCAAGTGAGAGAGAGTAGCTTAAGGATGTCAATATAAAGAAAACTATTAATAATGCCCATAGACGAAAGTGTACAGTAATTTTGCCCCATGGTTGGCTCTCCACCCTTGAACTGTCACGGACCTATTTTGTCCATGACGCCACCACACTGGCTTTTATTAGAGCCCTTGCGGTCCACAACAGCTCTAAGAGAGCTAGTGCAGTGCCACATCTCCACTGTAGGCGAAAAATGAACGGCAGCATGCCCACTGTACAATTTCACCCATAGGCCTTGCAAAGTGCTTTCCCAATATAAATGAGCTATAGAGAGAGAGAGAGACTGAAGGTTGCCAACATCAATGAGCCAGTAAAAAAACACCCCTAAAAAAGTAACCAAAAAGTGTTTTAAGCTGTTAATTATAGTACTCTTGCGTCAATTAACTGGCCGAATTACAACATTAATGAGCCAGCAAAATAGCAACCCAAAAGTGCACAAACTCAACCAAATTCAGGCAAAAAAACAGGTACAGAGCGCAAGCCTTCATTAACTTAAATAATAAACAACCAAAACAGGGAACATGAAGAATGAAGAAACAAAAAGTAAAGAAGAGTCAGAAAGCACATAATTTAAAGGCCTCAAACTGATGAAAAGTTTTCAAATACTTATTTTCCTTTATCTCTCTAGCTTGGGTGGTGATGATCAATGGGAAGAGCAAATGCATGTGTAGAGCCACTCTCTACACTCATTCCTGTTTTGTAGATGGCTGAAATGGCAAGAGTAAGGGAGTCCCAAAAAGTCATTAAATCGGTCTCAAAAGGCCAATTTGATAGATGCCACCGGTCGCTATGTGTTCCAGTTCGTGCCTTCCTGTACAACCTGGAAATAAGAAAACGGTGAGCATTACGCATCGTACAAAACAAAAAAGAGAAAATACAATGTTTATGGCCAATATCTCATTTTCAGAATTCTTTGGGCATAACTTTCTATGTATGTTTCTTTTCTAGACATGTACGAGAATGCAAAGAAGTTACCAGTGATTGTTGCCACTTCTTCGAAAATGGCCAACAAATCCCACCCCCCTCTCTCTCTCTCTCTCTCTCTCTCTCTCTCTCTCTACAGATACGTATACTACTTAACTACTACTACGTAACGTAAACGTAAAACTAACCCTAAACTTTAACGTAATTACTACGTACTAACTAACGTAAGGTAGTAC